GAACCAGGCCACCCAGCAGGAGGTGAGCGCGGGCAAGCCAGCAAAGATTCACGTGTATTTACAGCAGCTCCCATCGCTCACATCTCCACCTGAGCTCCGCCTCCTGCCAGATGAGCAGCAGCATTAGAGTCTCACAGGAACATGAACCCTACTGTAAACCGCGCATGCGAGGGATCTAGGTTGCACACTCCCTATGGGAATCTGATGCCTGATGACCTGAGGTGGAGCTGAGGCGGTGATGCCGGTGCTGGGGAGCGCGTGCAAGCACAGATTACCATTAGCAGAGAGGGTTGACTGCACAATAAATGTAATGCACTTGAGTCATCTCGAAACCACCACCCCACAGCCCCCTGGTCTGTGGAAAAACTGTTTTCCATGAAACTGGTCCCTGGTGCCAAAAAGACTGGGGACTGCTGGTATAGACAGCACAATGCCTGAATTCCAATACAGGCTTCCCCACTTTTCAACAGCAAACTTTGATTAAATTATTCACTGTCCCTGAAGCTTGGTTTCTCCATTTGTAAAATGAGGATAATATATGTCATATAGTATTTCTGTTAGAAAAAAATAAGTGAAATATGTGAGATATATATAACAATACCTGACAAATTACAAGGGTACAATAAGTGCTGGCTATTATTAATGTATTTGTTGTATACAATATTGCACTTGATCATACTGCACTTGGTCTGAGCAGTATTCTTCTGCCTCCATAGTAATATTACATTCCTTCAAATTAGCACTGTAAATCATTCTTCTCATAAACCCACAATGCACCTAACACAGCAGTAAGCACAGTTTCATTAATTCAGTAAAATACAGATGTGGTTAGAGTTACGAAAATGATGATTTCATCTGAAGACTTTAGACCTGGGATACAAAGCACAGTGATTATGGAGATGCCAGCTCTGTTATGTGCTACTTATATGGCCTTATGAAAATTCCTTTCTTTTCCTGAGCCTCACTGTTGTCTTCTGTAAGCAGGGATGAAAACAGGCCTACCTCAGAGGGCTATTCTGAGGACGAAATGACGAAGTATGCACTAAGATCTTAGAACAGTGCCTGGCAAGCAGTTAGGATTTCATTAGTGTCTACTAGATGGAGAATAACTGAAGTTTGAACTGAGAAAAGCGAGGCTCTGAGTAAAATTATTTCATGGCTTGGATCAAAGAGTAAGGATTTGTCTATGTTTTGATTATTTATTATGCAATCTGAAAAACACAATTTCTTAAAAATCTAGAACTTAATATCCATTTCCACATCCAGTGAAGGCCAGAAATGCTAATTCTTTTACTTCATATAAGACCTTATTAGAAACATAGGTAATAGGTAGGTTTAGGTGTTTTACACAGTATCTCAATAGTTAAAAGCTTGATAATCCACGTAGCTTCAGTAATCTTTTCTCTTTCAACCTCTCCATTCAGGTTTTAAGTTAATTGACTAAGGTTTGTGAATGCTTTTTTCTAATGGACAGATCTCTACAATAGAGCTATAATTCTTGGGAAACCAGAGAAAGATTTCATCTTCCAGAGTTTTTACAAGAGCAGAATTTTAAAACTTTCATACAAATGTATACTCCACCATTTCTCTGAATGTAAGAGTCACATTTTTAGACTAACAACCAGATGTTTCAAAATAGCCTACTGTGAACAGTTTCCTCTCTTTGCATTTATAAATAGCACCCTGACCTCTTTTCCAACTGAGTTTGAGGGCTTATTCCCATTGGTTCAGTAACTGTCAAAGTCTCCTTTTGTTATAAAAAGAGGGTATCTCAGCAAATGTCTCCTAACTTATTGGCCCATTTATTCACATTTACTCATTCAATAAATATTTAAGGAACACTAGTCTTTCCAAGATAATAGGGGGAAATATTTGCAGTTCAAGATAAAAGCATCTTTTATCTTATTTGAGAACAGTGCTAAGTGCTACAAAGAAAGTGAAGATACAATGCCTTCCCTCCAAGAATTTAAAATTCAAAGAGATAAATTAGACATGACAAGCAAAAGAAAATGACATGCATATGAGCAATCTTTACTACTTTGTAAGTGTCAATACAGAAAGAATGCCCCAAAACAAACACAAAACAAAATTTTGGGGAAGAATCGATGCATTCAAAAAAACCACTTAAATTGTAATGATGAGAAAAATCAAATTTTATGAAGCTGACTTTCACGTGGTTTACATTTTAGTATTGTTTCATTTTTAATTAATGGAGAAGTGGCACCATCATCCTTCATGAGTGCTTAGGAACTCGAAAAATCTCAAATCAACTACATGAACACAGCAAGCTACTACTACGCAATTTAGAGCTCTGAGGATGGAGTGACCAGTGAAGAAGCTATGGAGAGGAGTTTCAAGATGCGTAGGTAGAAATACAGCTGGTGAAGCATCTGAAGTAGAAGGAATGCCTACAAAGGAGGAATAGAGGGAGATGTTCTCAGGCAACAGCAGGGAGGCAGAATAGCTGAGATGGACCTAGGATTCAACCAAGTAATAAAAGGGGACACCAGCAGGCAGACTGGAGTCAGCTGTGGAGGGCCTTGAACAGTAGGGTAAGTGCAAAGGTCTCAGCAGTCCCTCTCACCATCACCACCCCCATGAGACCAAGTCACCTGATAATCGGCATGGAGACCACACTCCTCTTCTGCTCTTCCTTAATAGATCATCTCTCCCACTCCAAACAGATCAAATCATTCTTCCCTCTTCCTAAAGCTATGTACTGTAACCAGTAGAGTTTTGTGCGTTTTTCATCCTATTTTTGTGAGAACCATCATGGCAAGATAAACTGTCTTATCGGCCCCTTCCTGAGTATTCCCTCACCTACTCATCCACCTGTGTACACAAATGGCATAAGAAAAATAATTCTCCCTACCTCTTCACAAATAGTTTTTAATCTCTGAATCTGCCCAGCAAAATGACTACTCCAATCCAGATCAGGACCCCTTTGTTCCCTCACTAGCATGGTAAAGAAGTAAGCTTGTGCTGAGTTGAAACTGTAACAAAATTTCACAGGTCAGACTTCTAATTAGAAACAATTATGCGAAGAGAATACCATCGAGTATTGTTTCAATTAAAGAAAGAAAGAAAGGAGCAAAATGGCTTAACTACCATTATATATTTAATCTGGCCAATATTTAAAAAGCAATAAATAAAATGATAACCAGATGGCTCCTCACAGCCTCTACTCTCACATTCATCACATCGGGTCAAAGCTAAGACATATTTCCAACACTATTAAGAACTTCTCCAACTAATTAATACTTTATAGAGAATTCCAAAAATCCCTACAGTGTAGTATGTGCAAAGACTGGACCCAATAAACTAGTTAATAAATACTAGTTTAGAGGGGAGAGGAGGAAATACATGTTAAAAGAAGGTTACTAAAGCAATGACCATCATTTACACTTAGCATTTTTATAGTCACTCTCACCAAACTTTCTCAGTGTTGCAGTGAGGCGGGCTAGAAAGTAACAAAACAAAAAATACCCTATTGGATATCATGAGGTCTGTAACCCAGAACCTAAACAGGTTTTGAAAACTTCACAGTTTCAATGTGCTAATGTAAAAGTTTTTTAAGGAAACTGCAACTCATTATAATCTGAGTTCTATATTTCAACCACTATAACTTAGCGCAGTTGAATCTGAAAAGTATTAATTGCATAAGTATGAACCTTACACCATGAGAAACTGGCAGTGATATCAGAAAAATAAGAATTTGTTTTTAAATGTACCATCAGCTTTTCCTTTCATAGGCAACCCACATAAAATCTGACAGGCTTGCATAGGAAGAAAAAAATACAAACACATGCTCACCCACATAAATACGTTTTAACGAGCCCTTTGACTTACCCTCTAGGTACGTTTTAATTTAAATAAATCTCTAAGTGCTGACAAATCAAGTCTATATAAAACTCTCATGGTGTTAGGACCCACCTTAAATGTGTGTGTGTTAAATATACGTTTGGAAAGGAGCCAGGAAGGTATTTCCACTTTAGGCTCTAGCCTAGTTCCATGACCCATTTTTTTTTCTTTTGTAAACATTGTTAAACAGTGGAATGTCATAAGAATTTTCCCTCAATATTTATCCTGTAAATGTATGAAAGTCACAAATAAGACTTTAAAGGTATTTATTTATTTTTTCCTTAAAGTTAGCTTCCTTTTTAAAACACCCATAAACTTCATCTTCCAATTACTTATGGGCAACGTTCCATAAACTTGTGCGGGTGGAGAGTGCTTAAGTGAGGAGAAATCGATACTGAGCTTGTAAGTACAATACTATTATTGGTAATAACAATGACATTCGATTAAATGTACTTTTAAAAATAGCTTATTTTCAATACACTTTTTTTTTTTAACACGAAGGCTATATTCCACTGAGCAGCCTTCTCCAAGGACAAGCTTGCAAAAAAATGTTGCCATCCCTACACAAACTTGCAACAACCTAAAAATGTCATTCTTCCGCACAAACTAGCTTATTATTCTCCTGGATTTTTCCTCTAATTATCAATGGTTATATAATTTCACGAAGCCTTCCCCCAAGTCGAAATAACTCCAGACCGCCTCAAGGAGGTGGGAGAAGTGTTTAAGACAACAAGCCGGAATTAAATAAAATAAAACTTACTTCACTAAATAGGTGGATATCAGTCACTTCTCCCAAGAGAAACTATCTCCATAAGTAAACGAGAAAGATAAATCTGGTAAACTCACTGCCGACAGGTCCCCGTGTGTGGTGCTGAGTTCAGGCAGGTGGAGGCCAAATGATTGTAATTAAAGTTAATTAACAGGCCTGTCGTCTCAAAGTGCATAGCAAGCAGGGTGCGGGGGAGCACCGAGACCGGGGCAAAGTCATTATCTCTACCGAGTCAGTAACCTGGTGCCCGGAACTCGCTACAGCTCCTTTTTATTCGGGGGTGGAGAAGCAAGGCGGGGAGTCTGGCTGTCTATCCGGATCGTCAGTTTCCCGGGTCAAATCCCAGAAGTGGAGTCTCTGTGTCACTTACCAGCTTCTGGTTTCCCTTCAAACGCCCACGCGCGGGAGCGAAATCCAGGGGGCAGCAGTCGGAGCCGAGCACGTTGCGTTCTGGAAGTGCACTCCGAGAAGCGCCGAAAGCCCCGGCCCTCCCGCGCCGGGCCCCCCACCCGGAGCCCCGAGGACTCGCCTTGCGCGCGCACCGGGCGGGCGGGGATCCCCAGCGCCTCTCCCTGCGCGGGGCGCTCGGTTCTCGCCCCTCCGCCCCGGGCGCGGGGCCGCCTCCTCCTCCACGGTCCCCGCACGCTGCCGGGCGG